TCAGGTGAGCCGCCTCGTTCCTAGGGTTTTCAGAGTGTGCTGGTACCCAGACAATTTCTATTTCTCTAATTTCTCGTCCCGTGGCCCCATGCAGAAATCGTGCGGCGGTCGCCGATATTCTGCCCCTCGCTAGATTTCGAATGGCTGTCTTTGAATCACTGAGAATCAGATCCGACTGCGAATTATTTATAGCTAGCGCTATTGCTGCTTCTCCTGCAGTTTATGAGGAGCGGGTTTTGACCAATACAGAGGCGACCAAGTGTCCCCGCTTGTCCACCATCACAATCACAAAAGCGTCTTTGTCCTTATATTCCGCAACATCTGTATAGACTTCCGCTTTGTACTCGCCGTACTCAACGTGTAAAGATCTGGCGCTTGCCTGCCTGCGCTGCGTATGGTGAATCGCCCCAGTGGGAGCTTCTGCTCCAATGCCAATCCTTTCCAATATGATCCTTCCCGATTTGGTTGTCTAAGCCTAGCGTGCTGCATCACCATATGCGCCTCCCATAATTCATCCAGGGTGTTGTGTACCCCTAGTTTTAACAGCCTTTCTATAGGCGTGTTGTTAGGCAACCAAAGCGCTGCCTGGTAAGCTTGCCGGATCATAGCCTCGACTTTGCCTTTTTCTGCAGCATCCAACCTCATATAAGGTGCCACGTAAGGAATTCTGCTGAGCACAAACGCCTGTACCAGCTTACAGAGTTCTTTTTCTTTAACCCCGCTCCTAATATGATTATTTCAAAGGTTAAACTGTGGCATTCAGCGCCTCAGGCCTATAATCAAGGTAACAAGTTAGGTATGAATGAATGAATGAATGAATGAATGAATGAATGAAACATTTATCAAAAAGGAGAAGGAAAGAATAAGCGGAAGGACAGGGATGTTAGCCAGCTCTTAGACCAGCTGGCTGCCCTGTGTTGGGGAAAAGATGAGGAGAATAAAACATGATAGAAAAAGTGTTGGAAAAAGAGAAAGATAGACAATACAAAAATAGCGACTGAGGAAAGGCAACATCAAAGAGAATAAGACACTAAATTCTGTCTCTGGGACCAGGTATCCGCAAAAAGCGTAGCAAAGCATTCAAAGCCTTCTGGGCTGAAGATGGGCTCGGCCAATGACCCAGAATTTTTCGTTCCTACAAAGGCCGATCAATTAGTCTATTCAGAGCTGCACTAAGTCCTTGTCTTCGCCCATTAAAATTTGTGCACTCACATAAAAGGTGTGTAATGGTTTGTTCGCAGCTGCAGTAAGTGCGTGTAGAAAACCTGGCCATTCCAATAAGATAGGAGTATGCATTCGTGAAGGCCACTTCAAGCCACAGACGGTATAGAAGAGTTTCCACAGCTCGAGATGTTCCTGAGGAAAGACGAATCTGGAGATCGGGATCAAAGTTATCCAGGCGCGCGTTTGCGAATTCTGTCGAGTTCCAATGTACCAGTGTGAGATCACGTGCATGCGAACGAATTCTTGTAGCTGCATCGGTTCTTGAGAGCACCATGGCTGTGTATTGAGTACCGTCGTGTGCAGATCTAGCAGCCTCATTAGCGTGGTCATTGCCTTGTATACCGCGATGACGTGGTATACACTGATACACTATGCTGTGTTGTTTTTCGATTGCTTGGTGATGAAGAAGCCTTTTTTCAGGTACTAAATGTTGATTAGGTCCATGGCGAAAGGGTGACAAGAGACATTGAAGAGCTGCCTTCAAGTCCAAGAAGATAAACCAAGTTTCCGAAGAAACTTCAACTATAAACTCTAGAGATGCACGTATGGCGGCGAGTTCTGCAGCTGTCGACGATGATAAATGCGATGTCATGAATTTAATTGTGATGTGGCTCGCGGGAATAACCACCGCCCCTGCTGAGCTTACTGAAGACGCAGAGTTATCCGTGTAAATGTAAAGGCGTCCATTGTGCTTCTCTTGCAGGAAAAGTAATTTGGTGTGTTTGAGGGCTAGATGCGACGACGTTTTCTTATTTTGGATGCCAGGATTGGTAAGAAGCGCTTTGAGTGGGTATAGGCACCACAATAAAACAGCGGCCGTGCTGCATGCGTAGAGTGCAATGGAAGAACTGCGCAACGCTGAGCTACAGTTGCGCTGAACGCCAAGTGGTGCCTAGAAGTTCGAAGTGAGGCGAGGTAATGTGATAGAATCCGAACGAAATGTCTTAGGTGCTTTCTCTTGCGTCTACGTGGATGCATGTGTTGACAGGATAATCACGCGCAGTGATGACTCTCGCTGCTGTAGATGCGCTTCTCGGAAGACCAAGGCCTATTCACTGTGCTTCGGCTTGGATTGACTGGAGGACGCGCAAGTTTGTTCTTAGGATCCCGCAAAGCACGGGTAAGCTGTAGCGCACATAACCGAGGAACAGAATAGTGTAGAGTTGAAGCATTGCTCATACCAATGCACCCCACGTTTTTCTAGCAAGAAACCTGAGCACGTGGGTGATCATGTTGAGTTTCACTTTCATGTGGGCGATGTGAGGGCTCCTGGAGAGGTCGTGATCAACTATGGCTCCGAGGAATTGGTGGGTCTTCATGTAGTTGATTGTCTGTCTATTGATTGTAATAACACATGGGCCCGTCGCCTTATGCATGAATGATATAAGCGAGCACTTCTCCGATGAAAGCTCTAGTACCCGTTCTTCAAGGTACTTCGTCTCTAGTGTAGCCGCTCTCTGAAGCCGGGCACGCAAATGAAGGCGTGTTGCGCCTGACGCCCAGATGCAGATGTCATCTGCGTGTATTGATAGATGAATTGATTGTGGAAGTGCATCAACCAGGCTGAGGAGCACTAGATTGAAAATAGTGGGACTAAGAACACCACATTGAGGCACACCACGGCAGATGCAATAATGCGTTACTTTTCCATTCTTCGTCTGTACAACAAAAGTTACGCTCTTCAAATAGCTGTCGATCCATTGGTAAACCCGACTCTCCAATCCAACATTTTTCATGACATCCAGAATGGCTTCATGCCATGCATTATTGTTTGCGCATTTCACGTCCAAGAACAACGCCGCAGATAAACGTTGCAGTCTTTTTATGCTGCATGGGCGAGACCAGGTCAATAATGCCGCCGAAAGGCCGTCATAGCATCAGGGTATACTTCGTGGTACTCCAAGTACCACTCTAGGCGAGTCAAAATCATCCTCTCCACCCCTTTACCTAAACAGCTGGTAAGCGTGATGGGGCAATAAGAGGTCAAGTCTCGAGGAGATTTACCTGGTTTAAGCACAGAGACGAGGCGGGTGAATATTTCCGAAGAAGGGACCAATCCACTGCTAGACGAGTCGTTGTATATAGATAGAAGGGCCCGTCGAGCTGCTTCATCGAGGTTGCGAAGAGCCATGTACAGGATCCCATCCGGACTAGCTCATGAATATCGTTTGCATGCCGTCAAGGCCACTTGAAGTTCCTCTAGAGAGAAAAAATGCCGCCATATCCACGAAGTGAATGATGATGAGTGGGCGAAGTTCCGGAGGTAAACCTGGTAAACCATGAATCCTCCGTACATTTTGCCCACTCGATTTTATTGCAACGCTCCCCCTAGCGTACGTCGCCGCACTATATCGAACGATGACACGCGCCATATGTGACATCATTCCTATTTTATAACACCTCGCATCTTTCATAATCAACTACACGTACCGCCGTCTAGTTTATAACATCTTGCATCTTTTGGACGGACGGACGGACGGACGGACGGACGGACGAATGGACGGATGGACGGATGGATGGATGGATGGATGGATGGATGGATGCATGGATGGATGGACGGACGGATGGACGGATGGACGGATGGATATGGCTGTACCCTTTAGATCGGGCGGTGGCTAGCGTAATACTTAGAACTGAACGAGAGGTGGCTACATACAGGGGACGCACAGCCCACGCCTTAAGGAGCTTCGCTCCTAAAAGGTGTTCATTCTTGTATCTCTGGAGACTGGTGAGTTCTCTAAGTGACACGTGGTGCATGGGGACGCCTGACCAGAAACGAAAGTGTATATTGCACTTAGTGCAGGAGAAGACTGGGCGGGACCTTACTCCATTGGACTGAGCTGCTATTCGCGCCTGCTCCACGATGTTCCACTGGTCGTCGAGAGCTAAGTTGGACAAAGTATGCTCCAACGTGTCGGCTGCAAAGTTTGCGCTTTGTTTCTGTCAGAGTGGCAGGCCCACAAACTATGTGAAACGGGGCAACGCGGCTGCAACATAATTACCACATGGCGCTAAATTTGGCCATAACTGGGCGTTTGTACGACATGGTGTGGAACCTGCGCGAATAGGTGTCCTCGGCTTTAGTGAGTCACGTAGCGGGATGAAGCAAAGTTAGTCTTTGTAGGCATTACAGCTGCAGTATGCCTGCGTGTGTTGCAGCCGGTATTGGCGCTTGAGTGCCGTGGTGTGAAGGGTCTGTAGACAGAGCCCGGGGAAGGCATGCTGCGCCGACTGGTTTCATGCTGCGCGACTGGTCCACTGGTTTGTGGCTGCCTCCTAGCGACCTGACACTCATGAAATTTGGTATCAGTATTTTGGATGCGTTCATAATATGGCAGAAATGTGTCCGGGACGTCCCGAAAACTAATACTTGATGATGCTCCAATCCGTCTTGTCCTGGATGTTTATTCCGCATGGTAAAATAACTTATTCATTTTCTAAAAACTCTCAACTATTGATAACTCTCACAATTCGGCATTGATTGATTTATGGATATGTGTAGTTTAACGGCCCGTAACCATCATATGAATATGAGAGACGTTGTAGTGGAGAGCTCCGAAAATTTTAACGACCTGGGGTTTTTTGACGTGCACCCAAATCTGAGTACAGGGGCCTACAGCATTTTCGCCTCCATCGAAAACGTAGCCGCCGCAGCCGGGACACAATTTCGCATGACATTGACGCATTGAAGATAATAAACCCATCGTGAAATGTTTTTGTATACGTAACTAGCACGGCAGTGTCGCGATTCCTCTCATAAAAATGAACAGCGTATCTTGTGCGCTTTGAAAGAAAATTTTTTTTTATTTCGAACCATCGTATCTAACGCCAAAGACGCACTGCTGTTCAAGCTGGTGTATACCTCTCATGCGTTACATACTTAAGTTCCGGTAAGTGCGTGACCATGTCTGTCTCTTTTTATTTGACAGGTGTACTTCCTCAAGTGTGTGCTGGCGTACTATCACACGCTACAAAGCGAAGAAGAACCACAGCCGGAGCCGGAGCTGGAGCTGGAGCCGGAGCCTTTGATCGAAGAAGAGCCACACTGCAGCAAAAACAACGCTTAGCATTATCGCCTAAATAGTAGTATTCAAGATGTACAATGTCAATTTTTACGAAAGGGAACACGGGAACGCGTGGCCTGCGCACTCCGGCGGCTGCTGGCAGCGCGTTTAAGTGGGAGCAAGAGCAACTGCGATCTTTTTTTGCATCATCTCGTGGTGAGGAAAACAACCATTCGTTGCATGATATAGAACCAGCGGCAAGATTGCGACCCCCTCCCCCTTCAAAGAGATTACAAGAGAGCCAGTAATCCCCTTGAAGGGGGAGGGGTTGCAATCTTGCCGTTTCATATCAGCAACAATTAGTTGTTCTACTGTGCAGCGAGATGACTCGAAAAAAGACTGTGGTTACTCTCGCTCTGGCTTGAACGCGCTGCCAGCAGCCGCCGGAGCGTGCATGGCCACGCGTTCCCGTGTCCCTTTCGTAAAAATTGCCACCGTACAAAACATGCGCACTGCACGAACAAATCCAGCAAATTCACCTACAACTTGCAATAAACACATTTTAAGATGGTTTGCTCTAGCCTGGTGCCAGTTTAATTTTGTCGCATTGTTCACTACTTCGTAAGTGAACTCGACCAATAAATATTTCGGGCAGCCATCGTTGCGACAATATAATTTCAATACGCAAGAGCAACTGCTACATAATGCTGTCGAAATGAACCACCTAATGAACTAATGTTTATGTTTACTGATTTGTATCTGTTCATTGTCCAGAGTTTAATGTTATCATATTTGCGGTCGTAATTGTTGGCTATGAATGTGTGATATTTGGTGGCACGAAACCGTTAGTGACAGACGCTAAAGAACGTAGCAAATCCATAGGCCGGGGTTTCCTAGCCTTTAGTAAACAACACGCCGTTGTACGTAACATTTATTTCTTTAATTACTCTGTTTTTGAAGAATCTGTTTTAGAAGGGCGGCTGCCAATCGCCCGTTTGTAAGTTTCACCTCATTGGTGTAACTGAGTCAATACTTGCACAAGGCAGGATCGAAGATTGCAAACCTGGAGCAGGGAACAGCGTGTGTTCACTTCAATTGGACTTCTTGAGTTGGTTCATTCTATGGGAAAAAAAACCTTGACAAGAACACCACAAAGAGAAACAGATGAAAGTTGCGTTCCATCTGTGAGTTTATTTGTGTTGTCCCTTCCAAGTGCCGTGCTGTTATTTTTTAAATACGATAGTCTTTCTTGGGGACCTTCGACACGAAAATTTTGGTCTGTCTGTCTGTCTGTCTGTCTGTCTGTCTGTCTGTCTGTCTGTCTGTCTGTACATTTCTCTTTTTGTCCGCCCTTAACGATACCCTAAACGGCACCAAACGATACCCCAAACGGCTGACCCCCTGCGCAGCGCTCACCAATATTGCTCAAGATTTAGCGTTCATACTTGCACGATAGTCAATTAAAAATCAATTATTGCGCTTATGTGAGGTACCATAACATCACGTGAATATTTTGTATGTGTGTCTCTTTACTAGAAAAGGCATACATAAGTAATTCTAAGCACCGTAGTACTTTTCACGCTGTGCTACAATTCAACGCTTGCACGAGAAGGCAAGTATTTCCAACGCTTTGCTAAGACACAGGGTAGTGTCAGCTACCCATCGTCTTCCGTTCTACGCCTTATCGCCTCAGAGACAGGCGCGCACGCCGCGCACTTCGTTTTCCAAGATAACTGCCAGATAGCGCTCACGTCTCACGTGTGACGTAACTTGATGCACTCGTTCACCTCCGCTGCACACTCGAGGCACTCTGACGCAGCGCCTTCAGAATACCATTCACTAATTTTCTTGCCCAGATCCTCAAATAAGCGTTTTCTTCACTCTCTCCAGATGCCAGACCATAGTCTTTAGATGGCATTTACAATGTAACATGCAAATACAGGACCATTTTTTTGTGCTCACTTTCCTTCATCATCATTCTTTTTTTTTGTCTGCACGTGATACGCATGTAGTATGAAGAAGGCATTCATGCGAACTAGTTCACTTTTCTAATTAGATCGCCTAGGACAAATAACAGCGCCAACGCAAAGATGTAAGCACAGTGGAAACATCACAGGGGTTGTATCAGCGATACATGAGTCTCTATATCAGAGAAGAGGTGGCGCAACAGCAACACGCCGTCACACGTTTGCTGATAAGTTCATGCAAAACATCTGTGGTAAGCGCTTCGCTAATGCGATCAATGGAGTTAATTGATTGCTTGTGGTGAGGACTGTCTCAGGTGTTAATGTTAAGGGGTCCAGAAAGTTTCAGACGGGAGCATAAAAGCAGAGGAACGCGCAGAACAAGGCTGGTCTCTTTTTATTGATATCATATACAAGGAGACGTTGACGCACAAGTATGACGCCGGCTACTCTTTAGCCCTTGAGTGAAAGTTTAACACGTATCTTAAAAGCAAATATATAAAACAGTGCATGGAAAATAGAACACTCGAGCACATATCCGAAAACACATATGCACATATCCAAACGTAAGGATAAGGAAATGTTCAAACGTCAACGAATGATGTTTCTGATAAAGTCCCTCCTTAATATTTGATCCAACCAGCAAAAAACAGCAAGGAACACGTCTGGTTGTTATGAAGATGTATTCGCTCGTGTGTACAAGGCATTCGACACGTCATTCACTTCAGCACAAACACATAATGGGTGTCATATGATACTGCACATAATAAGTACAAGCGTTCTGCAAATGAAAGTACGTTATTTCTTAGTACTTGTTAGCACTTCCGCTGTCTTGTAAGAAACGTGTTAGCACTTCTAAATCGTGAGTCTGTAAAACTCCAGTTGGCCACTGGCTCAGAAGTTTCTTCATGCTAAACGGTCTGCGCTCTAATGCCAACAGTTCAGATTTTAGACGGCTTCTCGGCGTGTCATGGTGCGGAAAGTCTATGAGAAGGTGACAAACGTCTTCATTTATAAATCCACATTCGCATTCGGGAGTTTCAGCTCTGCCGATTCTGTGCAAAAAACGTTTTGTGTATGCGGTGCCTAACCTCAACCGATGAATAAGAGTTTCCATACTTCTATCTAATGCTAGCGTTATTCTGAATTCAATGAATGGATCGATGTGAAATAAAAGCTCTTTGTACTTTGGTCAAACCAAGTTGTTTTGCTCATTCTACGAGTTGTATCCTTTATATTACTACGCAATTCATTTTTCGAAATTGGTAAACAGACAGTAACATCTTTACGATGTGCTTATCGTGCCACTTCATCGGCCGCTGTGTTTCCAGGAATGTTGCAATGGCCAGGTGTCCACTGAAACTTAATCTCAAGTTGCACCTTGCTTGCTTTGGAGACCTTTCAGCGTTTCGTATGTCATACTATCACTAATCACTGCCGTGTTTGTACTGAAGAGTGATCTTAAAGTGAATTGTGAATCGCTGAAAAGTGCCCATTTTCTCGCGTCTGCTGCCGAGTTTATAAACTTTATAGCATACAGAATTGCGAAAAGTTCAGGTGTAGTAGATGACGTTGGGCAAGATAATTTAAATGATTCCTGAATATTGAGCTGTCGTATATTAAATGCTGATGTTGAAGACCTTGTAATACTTGAGCCATCTATGTAAACGTGTACCCTGGATACCTAATGTGTATCCGATAAAGCGCTAGTTGTTGTGCAGCTTGGATTAACATATCTCTCTTTTTGATAATGCCATCTACTGAGAATTCAATGCTTGGCATTGTAAGCAGCTATGGAGGGTAGTCCACTTCGGAGTTCCAAAATTATATTTCTTGGTAATATATGTAGATTACTGTGTGTTTCTTCATGAACATTTCTTTTATCTTTTTGTAAAATCTTCAGTGTCAATGGAAGGTCTTTGTATTGCGTCTGTAAGCGAAAAAATGGCGGCATGTTTCGATTGTTGTCATGACTGGAAAGGGTGGTTGTCGAGCCTCTGCTAAGACAAGGCTTCTGGAAGTCACTCGTGAAACACCCAGGCAGACGCGCAGTCCCCTAGCTAATAGTCTCTGAAGTCGCTCCTCTGAAGTGCGGGAAAGGCCATGTAAGACTGCTGCAGAATATGCAATTTTTTGTCGTATTAAAGCATTGTGAACAGCGAGCATGGATAATACACATCCGCCCCATGAAGTCCCGGCGATTCTGCGGAGTATATTCACTAGCCAATTCACTTCGTTTTCGAGTTTCTTTGTGTGAGGTGCCCATGATAGCTGCCTATAAAGTATTACTCCGAGAAACCGATGTTGTGTCATAGTGATCTATGGTTCTTCTTCTAAATTGAGATTGAAGTTTTCTAACGTCTTATGGGTGAAGGGAAATACAGCTGTCTTTGCGTGTGATAGAATCATTCCTCTTTCTTTTAAAAAGTTGTTGATCAACAGCCATAACACAGTTGAAAAGAAAGGGCTGAGTACGGTTCCTTTTGGCACTCCCTGTCTGACGTCGTGTTCCACCCTTTATCCTTCGCTCGTATGTATGAATATTTTGCGACCTGATAAAAATTTAAACATCCACCGCAAAGACCTGCCGGACAGTCCGAGTTCAAACATACTCAGCAGAACGTGTGACTTACTGTGTCAAATGCCCTTTTGTTGTCTAAAAACACTGCGACTGTCAAACTACCGCAGGCACGTTCATGCTCCACATACGTTACTATGTCCAGTATTGCATCCATTGTGCATCTCTGTTCCTTAAAACCTGTTAAGGAGTTGGAGAATACACCAGTTCGGTTGCACCACCATTGAAGTCGCGCATCAATCATTTTTCCATTACCTTACACAGACAGCTTGTCAGAGTAATTGGGCGGATAGATTCAAGGTTCCAGGGCGTCTTAGCCGGTTTTAAGATCGGAATAATGCAAGCAAACTTCCAAGATTCCGGTACAATTTCTTGCGTCCACAGATTATTGTAAATATCTAAGAAAATGGGTGTGCCCGTTGGCCGAAGGTTATTTAGCATATTGTACGTAATGCCTTCCAGTCCAGAGGCCGATTTTTGACGACATGATTCTACAGCA